CATTTTTAGATTAAGAAAATTAAGTGATTTTAACGACTAGATAGGATACATTAATAAAACGATAATAATTAAGTGAAAATAATTAAGTGAAAACAATTATAAAAATAAAGCCCTTAATAAAAATCGATGCCCTATCAGTTATATGGCCTCCATTGTTGATTAACAACCTATAATTTTAGATGAATTAAGCGTGACATGTAAGGAATATACTATTGAAACTAAAAAAGAGTACTATAGCGAACTATAATATTCTTAGTAAATTAATATAAAACCTATAAAAGTACCGTATTTTGCGGAATAAAGTACATATGTGATGCGAATGTTTTTACACAAAAGATTAAATATCAAAACATCAGAATTAATTCACATCACAAAACAAGTATTCAAAAAGGAGATCTAAACTATTGACATCAAGAGTACTTTATTCTGCAAAACTAAATAAAATAAAATAAAATAATTTTGCTGTATATCAAAAAACGATCAAAAAATTAGGCCGGAATTGCTCATAATTTTACTAATAAATCGCAGCCGCCTATAGATGGGGTGAAATTACCCTTAATAAAAGTTTTTATTTGAATTGTTGAAATTATTGAATGGTAAAATAGTTTTCAATACTAAAAATTAATTTAAATTATATCGAAACTAAACTAAATTAAATTAAATAGTTACTGTAATAATTATAATCTTTTTAAATAATAAAAACCAATCCTAGCGGAGATATAAAAAGGTCCTGTCTAGGGACTTATCAAACACCCAGTATTTTTATCATGATCTTTTTAACTATATTTAAATCTTTAAAAATATAGTAATTTGTTTAAACACGATGAAATTACTGATTCCTAATCTAATAAGCTGCTGATTATGAAATTCTAAATCGATATACCCGGCTCTTAATAAAAGAAAATTTATCTTCACCCAAATTTTTATAAAAACTTTGTTATCATCGTTATTATGATAAAATAACTACCCAACTAAATTTGCTAATTTTTTTTTTTTGCTAAAAATTCTGTAATATTCTGTGATTAAGAATGATTCATATCAGATATGTTTGAATTTAAAAAAATTTAGTTATTTCTGTAAATTACCGTTTAAGAGTGAAGTTCACCTCGTTAATATTAGCAATACTCTCATTTAACAAATTAATATACAACTCACTCTCGTTATAGTGAACTCTCGTTATAGTGAAGATTCGATATAGTGAAGAATTTTTGAATCCGGAATTATTAAACCTCAACTCGATATAGTGAAGTACATATAGAATTCTCTCGATATAAGCTATAGTGAAGATTTTTTTTCAGCCCGGGGTACTTCACTATAACGAGAGTAAGTTGTAGTATTTATATATAATTTTAAGTAATTTTTATAAACTTGTTTATTAATAAATAAATTTTTATTATTAATATAGTACAGTATTTTATTATTAATAATATACAGTAAGTAGTACAGTATTTTATTATTAATACAGTACAGTATTTTATAATTTAATATATAATTAAAATTAATAGTTTTAATATATATAAATTTTATATTTTACCTTAAACATTAAAAAATAAAAAAATAAATTTTATATTTTATTTTATTAACATATTTTAAATAGTATGAATCTAAATATCAAATTATTAAAAATGATTAAATTTGGCTGCACTTACAAATCTGTACAATTAACCAAAATAAATTATAAAATATATGGTATAATATCAAAAAAAGACTATATTTTAATGTTAAAAATATACTGTATATATTTATCTAATATTAACTGTCACAGTCAAACCTCTCTATAGTCACCTCATATATAAGCACATTTTCTTTATAAGATTATTTTTTTAAAAAACTATCTATATATTATTAAATATAATAAATTTGACCTCTATAATTAGCACACTTCTCTATAATCACGCTTTTTTGTATTCCGTGGGTGTGACTATAGAGAGGTTTGACTGTATTTGTTTCTTAAAAAATCGATAATTTATTGCACCTAATCTTATATTTTTGATTATGTTTACGCATCCCATTTTCAAATAGTATTATATTTGCTATAAAAATAATATATAAGAAAAAAACAAATATTATAGTTACAATTAAAAAAAAAAAAAAAAAAAAACTAGAATTAATTACATGAATAAATAATTAAATATCAGTTCCTTGATTTGTAACTCCATCAGGTCCAGAGGCTTTAAATGATTCTTTATAAACTGCCAATATTAATTTCTTTTCCTCTTTTAATTTCTCTAAAACTTGTTTATAGCTCCAAGCCCTTAATTCAGAATTATCGTTATTACTGTATCCCATCAGATTACGTACATTTAAATATGAATTTAATGTTTCGCTGATCAAATTTTGTATACTACTATTATGGTGCGAACTATAAATAGTTTGTACAACGGATGCATTAAATTGTGGAATAATATTAAGATCATTTGGTGAATCATAATTTGAAGAAAGAATACCGCCTTCTGACAACTCAACCACATCTTTATTGGACCCTTGAATGTTTGAGTCTTTTTCCAAAGACTTAGATAACACTTGTTGGAATCCAACAGGTGGACCACCCCAACTTTTCCATTTTGATTCACGATTATTTACTGTAATGATAGGACTATTAGGTGTTTGAGGTTGTGATGATTTTACGATTGTAGAATATTGAAGTTTTTGATGTATAAATGTTCGTAAATACAAGTTAATTGGTAGCTTATGTGATAAAATCAATTCGATAAATGTCCATAATGCAAAATCTGTTGCAGATGAAGAGGGAGATTTCGCGTTCAGATTCAAATTATTTGATTTATCGCCTGGCGTGGATACAAGATAATTTTCTAAGGGACCCACAGCAATATTAACACTAGTATTGCTAGCTCCAGGAGATGACGCACCAGACCATTGTCCAGATTGAGGTGCACTAGCTGTTGCTAAAATTTGTCTTACAAACTGTGCAATATAAACCCACATGCCTTTTGATTGAGTAATATATTTATTTGCACGGACCATTAAAATTTTCAATGCTGTAAAGCCCAATAGAAAGGAAACTGTAGTCTCCATCATTGAAATTGGTTTGTTTTGATTTTCTTCTTCGTTTTCATATATTTCTTTATTTTTATAATATGCTTTTGTTATATAATCTAAAAGACGACACCAAACAATTCTTGCATTTGTTTCATGTGGATTAAAATTCATTGGAAACGGTGTAAATATTGCAGCCTCTTTGTATTGTAAGCATACGGGAATGATTATGTATGCCATCAATGTATGTGAAGGAGGATATTTATCAAGTTCTGATAACATATCATGCGTCGAATAAGTCATCATAGCAACAAATAAATTTACTAAACTATTACATAAACGAAGTTGCATAGTCTCTGCAGCATCTTCCCAGTCAGGCTTCAAAACCATAAGTAGCCCCAATGATACAAATTTTTCTTTTATCAAAACCGCCATTGCGGAATCATTAATTGCAAATTCTGCCTTGTCATTTACAATTAAGGCCAGCCCATCGATGAAACCCGAAAAATCAACGTGCTTGTAATAGTGACGGAATGCATAGGAAACCTGTCGTAGTAACGCCATTATGGGTTTTCGACCATCTTCAAATGTGGTATTATATAGCAAAGAATTTTTAATATAATTTTTAAGAAAATTAGTAGAAATACGCATTTTGATAGTTGCGTAATCTTTGATTATCATACGAATGATTTGGGCTATTTTATTATGACAATTATCTGAAAGCATTCCATCATGTTGTCGATAAATTTGCACCAATATTAAGAATTGTTTTTTGATCGTCATACGATCATTTTGTTGCCAATTTTTTCCAAAAGCTTGTGTAGTTGCTTCAGTAACAAATTGAACGCCATCAAAAGCATCATTTGAATCAATTTCTTCATCTGGACTTAGATTTATTGTTCCACTTCCGGAGACTCCTGTAGATGTAATCAACGGTTTCGACGATTTGGAAAATTTTAGAAACACCTCTGTTAAAGCCGTCATCCCTTCATCCACCAATGTTCTAACCGAAGAAGATTCATTCAAAAAATGTGGAATTAAATATTGTAGAATATGAACGAATTGCTCAGCTCTTAAAGATCCAGGATCATAAGCAATTATAGTTATGAATAATCTAACTAAATTATCCAACGTAAATGTTTGATCTTCTTGCAATCCCAATAAACTAGCTATTGTTTTACCCGAATAAATATTAGTGGTTCTTTTATACGTGGAATTAGACATGGGATTAAACGTGGGATTAAATGTGGAATTAAATGTGGAATTAAATGTAGAATTAAATGTAGAATTAAATGTGGAATTTAATAGTTGTACTGGATTAAATAATAAGGGATCTGTTGTATTGAGGTTACTAAATGCATGACTTATTCCAAGTGAATCAGTTAAATTCGTTGAAGTATTTAATGATTTGAACAATTCATAAAGAGCAGAACACATCCATTCGCCAGATTTTGATGATTTCGCAGAACCTTTTAAAATTAATGGAGTTAAACATCCAAGTGCTTGAAAAATAAACGATTCTCCATGAACACGAAAGAATATGCCCCACGCAGTTATGATGGCTGTCCGAATAGGTTGAATTTTTTCTGTCTCACAAAATACCTTAAACAATGTTGGAATAAATATGGAATATCCACGGTTTGTATCAAATAATCTACGAAACCTAGTGACAACGGTAATATATAAGACAAGTGTTTGTCCAACAATACCATAATCACTTGTATGCTCTAAAAGAATATTGTTTGCTCCACTTAAAAATTTGTCAAGTTCATCTCGATCATTGTGATTTGTATTTAATCTCTTCAAAACCTCTATCAAAAAGTTCAACCATGCTCTCGCACGCAAAGCTGATAATAATTTGGTATCCCTTCTTTTCCGTGTAAGAATACTATTAAGTGCACTTAACTTACTATTTGTTTTTTGCATATCTGGAATGAAACGATCTTCCTCATTAGATAAATTTTGCAATTGTTCATGATCATATGGTGTAGGTTCAAATGCACTAATCATCTTTTTGACAGAATATACTTCACGTGGGAACTTTGTTACAAAATTAGTCACTAAATGAATTTGTCCAACTCGAAGTATAGCGACCCGGAAAATATCAATCGGTACTGCCAGAATATCAAAGATAATTCTATCATCTGTCATATTGCGAGGAAACATTGACTTTGGAGTTCCTTCAGTAAACCAAAACTGCCCATTATTACAAAGAAAGTTTTCTATTTTATTTTTGCGAAAATCTCGAACAGTCATATCGTTAACAACAGGAACCATTTCTGCCAAAGTTGGAATGGCATACGTCATAACGTTGAGTCCATTGTCTTTATTTTCGCGAGAATACCATTTCAGCATTCCTGAAAGATGATTAAATAATATGTATGCAAAATTTGGAGGATGCACATGCTGCATTGAAACAAGAAATCGAATTCTTGAAAGCAGTTCCTTTTGGGAATCAAAATCTGATGCACCCAAATCACTAAAAAATACTCGAAGAAACAAATGCGGATCATCTCGTAGGAAATAAATTATAAGTTCTTTAGTCAGATTAAACACGCCACCATGTGCATCATCCAACAAGTCTACAAGTCTTAAAGAGAAAGAACTTAATATTGGAATCGATATTGCTCGCCGTTTACTTGTATTTGTAATATTAGTTTTTTGAACTGAATTACCACTAATACGTGTACTCATCATCTTTTCACGGGTCTTTTGGAATGACATTTCCTCTTCAACTTTAAATTCTTCCTCATCGAGATAAAATGTTGGTAAAACAGATATGGGAGTTTTTATGCGTTTAAGATGTTCATCAACATTATCATCCTCCTCCCAGCTTAACTCCGAAATTATTTTACGTACATCAACAGCTAAATGATCATCTGTAGTCATATTCGGTACTCTAGATGGCTCATACATCATTTCTTGACTCCCTAATTCAGTAGGAACAAAAGGGATAGCCGGGGCTTGCGCACGAAAAGGACGTTTACGATTAGGCTCAGGTATATATGGTTGAGTCAACAATTGATTTCGATGACCAAATAAAGACGAAAGTTTACGAATTGTAATAGCACGAATTAATGCATTTGTGCTAAGATTTAAAAGCAACAATATAAAATAATGTATATATCAAAAGAAACAAAAACGTGTCTAAAGAGAATTATTATTGTTATATTACCTATAAAGGTCTCTCATTATCAACTCCTTTATAGTATCAGGAGATTTTTCACTGCATTGTATAAATAAAAACGATGCTGAAGCAAAAGGTTTGTGTTCCCTATCGTTCAATAATTTGTTCCAGATGTGTAGTCCCAATTGGGAAAATTCATCTACTGAAAGAGTGGAATAAACGGCTACAAGAAGTGATAAAATAGAACCGGCAGGTTCTTCATTGAAAGATTTCAACTGTTGAAGGCGATGTTTAGATAACTTTGATGAATAATGAGATTGATTATTCATGGCAGGCTTTAACATTTGCATACTCGTATATTGTTGTAGTATGTTACTATATTTTGATAAAGGTGTCGATATACTTGACGAAACAATCGGTATAGGATTGGGCATTACTGGTACTGGAACATTTGATATAGTGTCCTTTTTTTTTAAAAAAAAAAAATATTATCACCAAAATTGCTGCGCTATAGTACGATGATAGAGTTACCAACCTCAGTAAGACTAGATGAAATTCTTTGATCTAAAGTTGTATATACGTTTCTTATTCTTTCAAACAAAAGTTCAACATCACTCATTTGATTAGAACTTATATTAAATTCCGAGAGATAAGTAGATATATCGTATGCGCTTATGCCCTTTATCAAAGAATCTCTATAAATTGCCGCATTAGGAGTCGAGAAAGTTAACCAATCTATCATCCGTGACAACCAACCTGGCCTATTAAATAATATAACTTTAATGATTTTAAATTAATATGAATATTATACATTTTCATGTTTACCTATACGTTGTTTTACAATACATCCTAATTTCAAAAAATAATTTACAAAGTAAAACACGCAATGGCATTGGGATCAATTTTGATTTTTCCTAAAAAAAAATAATAATATCAATTTTAAACATAATAATTTAATTTAACTTAATAAACACTTTATATTTTTTAAACTCACTTTTGCAACTATAAATACCGCCAACCGGCGCTCTAAATCATTTAAAAAATTTTTTGCATATAATTCTACCTTATAATCTTTTTTTTTCTAACAAATTTAAATAAAATAGTCAAATTAAAGAAATTTATTAAGATTATATGGAAAATTATTATAAAACACACCTCAGGTTTTAGTCTCATCTGTTGTATTGTAAAAATGAATTCTATAATAATAACACATTGTCCTAAGGTTGTAGAGCCCCATGGAATTTTAGAAGTGCTACTTGTAGTCGATGCAGTCTTGGCTAAGTCACGCCCAACATCACTTAAAATAACAACACTTAATAATTCGGCATCCTGCATGAATAATTCTATACCGCTCATATAATTTCTAAGTATAAAAATCAAGTGAAGATATTCAACAACTTTTTGTTCAGAGTCTGATGCAACACAAGCAAGCATTTGTTTGTAAAACTGCGGCCGATGATTTGAAGATAGCATTAACAGTAAATTTTTGAGATGTGGAGATGGTTCAGGTTTTAACGATACAATTTTCTTGAAAATTATGAATTATCAGATGTGAATAAAAGAAATTAAATCGGTGCCGCAACATAATAAATAAATTTATGAAGCTTACATCAAATAAGTCAGAAATAGTCGCTGCAACAATTTCATTGCCAACGTTATCACTTATTCCAAATACTAATTGATCAAATATTGTAGTAACATATTCAAAATCATCAGACATGAGCTAGAAATAATAATGATAATAAATTAGAGAGTATTAACAAAAAAAGGCAATTTAAACGTTAATTAGACATTTAGGCCCTTTCAGCGATTCATATTCTTTTCATAGTATACACTATATTTACCCTAATATAGTAATACGGATGCTTTATTGGTTTAGTAAAAAAAAATTTGAATTGTTACGTATAATTCAAATACTTATTATAATACCACACTGCTGAAAAAAGGTTGAACCGCTAAAAAAGGGCCTTAATTAGACATTAATAGTAGCATACATACAGCTTCCTTTACAAGTTCTATAATTTCATTTGGAGATGTAGTTGAATTTATTCGAGAAGGATTTGAGGTATCTTCTGGATCACCATCCCCTGTAGCGACATCCGATGGAGTCACAAAATATCCATTAGGCTCAAGGACATGCGATTCTTTGATTATCGTATATGAAATAAGTTACAAATTATTGTGAAAATAAAGAACATTAAATCGCAATTACCTTCCGAAATATCCATGATACATTAAAATGACAAAAAGTAACGTCTCCAAATGTTGATCATAAACATCAACCTGTATTTATATATTATGTGCTCGAAAAGGATTGACATCCAAAGCTGGTAATTTGTGATACAAAAAAGGATAACTCCCATTTTAGAAATTTTCACGGACACTAAATGCTCTGGTAAGAATGAAAGTACGTATCAAATATTTTTAAAAAAGCCTTAGCCTAACTGCTTACAATGTATAAGCATACTAATCAATGCAGGGTATAATAAATCAAATTATATATTAGTCTATTAGTCTATTAAAATGATAAATTACGGTACTAAAATAAAATTTATTAACATTAAGAGTGACCTTAAAGATAGCTTTACAAGGTTAGTTAGGATTGAAAATTAAATTTAATAATAAAGAAAGTATCATAAGTCACATTTATGACTGATTATATGAAGGGAGTCAATAGAAATGGAACAAATCATTTTTAGTAACTTTTTTTAAAATTTTAAACTAAAATATTTCAACAACCACCAAATCAATTTAATAAAATTTTTTTTTATTTTGATTCTATAACTATATAGATTAAATAAAATTTTTTTATTTAATTTGGTTTGATTCTTATTGAGATATTTAACTTAAAAGTTTAAAAAACTTTTATTTAGAAAAAATTTGACCCATTTCTATTGACTCTCCTATATGGTGTCACACTTCCATAATGAACGACCCTCATCTTCGTAAATTCATCCTCCCTGAGAACCAACAATTTAAGTAATTCATTCATTATCTCCATTCCAACTGGATAGTCCGCAGAATTTTGAAATCCGTTTAAATCCATCAGTTTTCTAATCCTTTGAAATTCACTAGCAACATATTTCATAACATCTGATTTAAATCAGACCATTGCAAAACCACTCTAAAAAATTTAGCTACATTATCAACAGTTAATTCATTAAAGGATTTTAGATTTCGCTATTTGCCTTAATTCAATTATAAGATATTTATCGGCTACGATAAATATATAAATCGGTCTCCTATATAAAGAGTTTGAATCGAATTTAACGTGATATGCATAAAGGTGCTAAGGTAATTCCATAAAAATTTACTGATGAATGTCAGCCTGATACTTTTTCTCTTTTGGGAGATATATCTCTTTCGTCGTTTAATCGTGCCTTATCATTTGATAGTTCTGACGAAGGTGATTCGTTTCCCGGTTCTTTAATTATATGACTCTTAGTTGAACGTTGACTATCAAAATTACCGGTATTTTGTTGTGAATCTTCAATCCAACCACCTTCAATTATTTTTCGAAAATATTCTGACCGTTTTGTGAGAATTGAACTACGCGTAAATATTGTTGTTTCAGACAAATTAAATTGAATGAAATATCTGGCTGATTTAATTCTTCGTACCAAATATTGATGATATCTTACAGTCAGGGTTTAGAAGGAAGACAATGATATTCAGGTTTTCATTTTCTAATCTTTATTAACAATCCAAACTCCTATCGTAACATCTCCGGTTTCAAGAAAATTTTAATTTTAATTAAATTTTACACATTATTAGGCTTTGATTTTTGGACTTGATAATATTTGTTTCTTTTTTTTTACGCACCAAATTCATAAATTCATAATCTTTACTTGATGCATCTCTTAACGGTCCATGCTCAAATGTTAAGCTTGGATTATGTATAAAGTTGCTGAAAATTTTGCTCGATCATCCCAAATGGATGGAAAAAAAAAATTATGTGTAATAATTTTATAGAGGAATAAAATTTTGGATATTTATTTACATTTCTATGGTAAATCGTATGGGAATATATTTATAAAATATATTCAAAAGAAAATATCAATGTACATAGATATTTACGTGAATTTTTTCCTTTTATATAGATAAACAATTACATGATTTTTTTAAAGTATATAAAATAATACAAAAATAACGTATACTGTATAAATATATATATATAGAATTTTATAATAAAATCGATGCATCGCCCTTACATAACTATAATGCGTTGATTAATATTAAATTGATTCGATTTGCGATTTATATACTATACTATATATATGCATCGATATGTTGTACTTAGGAACTTCTCAGATCTTAAAAAAAACTTACCGATAAACGGTAATAGAATTTACGTACAACTAAATAACGATAATTATACCTTTAAAGCAACTATTTAACCTAAAAAATACTAATATTCTTTTATTATACAAGTTTTAATATTTTGATCAATAAATACAAAGAAAATTCTTACTTCACCAATCGACTATGATCTTAATATCCTGTTGGGCTGGTTTCTAATAATTATAGTAATTATAGTAATTATAGTATAGATAGTATAAATAGGCGAAGCTAAATCAAAGGAATAAGATTCACAAGTATCATTACTTTGTAATAAATATGTTACAATGTCTTTTTTCTAATTCTGTTTTAAGTTTCTACGATCGTTAATTTATCACTGATAACTTGGCTCACTATATTACTAATCCATATATATTAATATAAATATATATCACTCAGCTCTTGTAAACCCAATTTCAAAAAACTCATACGGATAAATATTTCTAGCCCTTTCTACTGAAATATTACCAGCGTTCTCTGACCAATTTAAATCAAAAATTCTTTTCCACATCTCACCAAACGTCTCCCAACTGCAATCAACTCCTACAGCAGACCCCCAAAGTAATGAAATTCTTATTCTACTGCAACTTCACCTTGGGATAAAAGTACTTCTTCTTCGTGCGTCACTAACGTGCACCATCTCTGCAGATTTTGGTGATAATTGAAGCCTAACTTTAATTTATTTTTCATAACGGCATTCAACATCATACATTCCACTAGCGTGCCCTATCTCTACATATAAGTGAAATCTTTATCCTTTTCAAATCTACTAATAGAAATTATAGAGTTCTTCTAAATTTTCGTATTTTTTTTGAAGATCCAAGTTAATTAATCAATAAGATAATAGTTTACAACCGAATATAAACTTTGATAAAAAGATGTAGAATCTTTCTGAGCTTACCTATCGACTTATTTATATTTTCTTCGATTTGATCAAACCTTTATCTGTCTTGATCGAATCTATTTTTTTATCAAGATATACTAATTTTACTCTATTAAATGCTTCATTTTGAGATGTTCGGCTTTTTGTTACAATTCTTTGCTGAGTAGGTAAGTATAAACTTGTTTCAAGATATTCTTTGAATGCATTAATTCGTCCAATATTGCATGATCTATTGATCCCTTCAACGACATTTTTCCATCACCAGTAAATTTAATGCCTTCTAAATTCACTAAGCATACTTTTTTAAGTTCTGCAAGAAGAGTTAAAAATTCCTTCGTAATAGGGTATTTATTATTGTCAAACTAATAAAATAAATATAAAACGCGTTAGATTTCAGGAATATAAAAAACTCTGATTGGTTATATATAAATATTTAGACCTGAGAGTCTTTCTGCTCTCTCTGTATTTTCTTCGAAAAATTCATTGAAATTCCATTCAAAAACCTTTCCGTCGAACTTTTCCAATTTTCTTTATTAGAAAAGCGACAACACAGCTAGTAACAATCGATCATCGTTTCAATCATGGTCTCATCATAATAATATCAGCTAAGATCTTTTTCCTAAAATTAATAATTTTGTAATATAAAAATTTTATACAATAAAAATATTAGTATCGTACGTATAATAAACCTCGAAGTTTACCAATAAACAATAAACAACCCTACATAAGATCGATCAAATTATCAACGGCATATACATGATCAACCATACGATCGATCACGAAAAATTTTTTTAAAATTCTTAATCGGTACGTTTTCATTGGCTAACTGATGACTAATCAATCACGCGAACGGAAAATCGACTCTCTATTAGAGGTTGTACCCGTCAAGAAAATCTCTACCCGGGTATTATTAAATTATCTGGTTATCCGGGTAATTTATTATAGCCATATAATAAAAATGGCCACCCGGGTACAATCTCTATCTCTATTGAAGATATTAGAATAAATTTAACCTTTTCAGAGATTTTAATATGCATGTATATAGGATATGCATTATTAAGAGACATTTAAAAATTATTGATAAATTGTTTCTTATAGGTAATACAATATTCAAACAGACGTTGAAAAATAAATACTGGTTTTAAAAAATTGGGATATTTTGACAAGATTTTTTCAAAGACAATCATTTATTTTGTTTAACGGTCACGATATATATTATGATGATAATATCAGAGTGAAATAACTGATTTTATTTTTTACTATCTTGAACCATGCTTGAAATATTTTGTACACTTTTCAATCTAATTATCACATTGATATTTATTCTATTTTAGAAGGGAATCTAGTATTATATTATCAAATACAGCAGTATAAAAATACAATACTGTGATGCATTAAAGCGTGCTAACAGATTTGACGTAATAGTACTTTTAACAATTTCTTTCGGTTGGTGGACTAAAAAATAACATTAAAAAAAAAAAAAGAATTATTTGAGTTATTGTAACTGCTGGAGTAAAAGTATATAAAAAATATATTTGTATTTATAATTACCGCCATGGAACCCCCAAAGCATCAAATATTTCCCTTTCGGTTTTTTGCGCAATTAATGTTCCTTCATTTAAAGCGTCACCACGACGACCACGAGAGATATGCTTATATAAACCATGATCATTCAGTTTCATTTTCTGTTGTATAAAATATTTAATTATGTAACATTATGAATAATTAAAATAAACAATTTAAGAATTCTTAAATTTGAATAGTTACCTTTTTTCTCGCAAGCAATCTCATACTTCGATTAAAAATATCATTTCCTGTAAAAGATAATAATGCCGCACCTAATTCATTAAATGGTACAGTAAAAAGATCTAGAATTCGAAGAAATACCAAAATCAGATATTTAGTTAAAAAGCATAGGCATAAACAGGTTTTGATTTTTTTTTTTTACCTATTCGACGATGTTTTCCACCATGTAGCTTACAAATTCCAAAATATCTTCTTGAACTTTCTTCCTGATGCTGCGTGAGGTCATGCGTCAATAGTCCTTGTTCACGTAGAGTATTAAGCAACTTTAAAAGGGAACCTTTTAATAGCAATAATATCAGCTTTCATTCTCAAAATTTATTAGTAATATTAAATACAGTCAACTCTATTTATAATGAACCGGTGGTTCTTATAATAAAAAATCTATATAGTAGTTTACGTGTCTACTATATCTTATATAATGACTTATAAATTTAAGGAAAAATTTTTTAGATGTTTATAAAAAGGTTCGTTACAAGCAGAGTTAACTGTATATTGAATAAATTAAGTCTACCCGAGTTTTCTTTTTCATCTGAATTATTTCTGGTTATTAAAATGTCAATATCCCCGCAAGTTGGTTTGCCTCTTATATAAGACCCGACTGTAATACATATTAATTTTGGATCAATTCGGCAAGCTGCTTCTTCTACGCGTTTTGAGATTTCTGTCACTTCATCTCGTGGAATTCTTTCACGGAGGTCCTTTGAAAATGAATTATTATTTATATTTTAACTTTGAATATCATAATTTATAAAAATAAATTATAAACTTACGTCAAAACATTCTATTCCAATACGTTGAAGGCGTGTTAATTTGACATTTTGAATAATGTCATCAAAAGTCCTATAACCTTTTGCATACCATTTCATGGCAATGGATGGCCCTACACCTATTTATTTAATAATATTAAAAATTAGATTATTATTAAGCAAAAATTTTATCAGATTAGATAATAGAAACATACCACAAATATCGCTGAATTTTTCAATCACTTCATCATCCTTTGAAAAATGCTGCAATCTTCTTAAATTTCCTGTATCAAGAATTTCTACGATCTGTTCATATGAAAAATAAAATTATTCTTATAGATACAATTATTATCGTTATAATAGAGAAAAATGTATTTAAAAGATAAAAAACCTTTTCAGCAGTGCGATGTCCTATACCACTAATTTCTATAGCCTCTTGATAAGAGGTAATTGGCTCTTTTTGTCTTTTAATCGCAGAAATAGCCTTCCGGTAACTTATAATCCTCCAATCATCTTTCATTCGTTGATAGTGATCTAATAGTACCTTAAGCTGTAATTTATATAATGAAGAGAGTTTGATATGAGCTTCAAAGTTAACCATATTTTAAATGTCTTTGTTTTGACACAGACTTTATCGATTATCAGTTTATTCGGACTAGCATCATCTTCTCCGTATGTATGTTTCTGCATACAAGAAAATCCTTTGAAAGACTTAAAAAAAGAATGTATCAAATTTAAAGTTAAAGATCTTAATAAAAGAAATGAAAGAATATATTCCAGAAAAAAAAGAGATTAAACCTTCGCTTCTTTAGGAGATAATTCAGAAGTAGTTTCTTGCGTCTGTGATAGGACTTTTTTATTTACTTTTAAGTTCACTTCGTTCTGCGTTGACGATTCAGCAAACTCATCTTCTGAATCAGACATTTCACTTTGTACGCTTTGAGACTCATCATCATCATCCTCCAACAGAAAACCCTTTGAAGATTATGAAATCATAACCTTTAATATATAGTATATAGTTAGATTAAGTTTAATAAAGTATATTTATAATTTACCGCATCTACAAGACATTTGGTCTCCGCAATCATTTCCAGCAAGGGATCATCACCACCCGAAATCACATCACTAACAGTTGGTGATGATTCATAAGTCAGCGCGGATACTTCTGGTGTGACAGAGGGTGGAGAAGAAGATCGCCTCTTTGGAGACATGGATTCTTGCCTCTGCTTTTTTTTTATATAATTATCATTTCTTTCACATTAAGTAGGTAGTAATTCAGGATAGGATTAGGATTTTAAAATTTATATATTATTTTTTAGATGTTAAGCTTTTTAAATTTTAACTTTTATATGCACCTTTTATTTTCGTCATTGTCATGAACACTTTTTTCTATTTGCTGAGTATCTAACACATCTGATGTCTTTACAATGTGTGAGTTTATATCTACGAGTTTTTCATACTAATATTAATAATGACAATATTACAAGAACCTCGTAAATAAAATGTGAAACTTTATATTGTTAGAATTCGAAAAAAACGCGTTAATTTATCGCAATGCTTGCCATCAAACATTCTGAAATCCAACTTGGGTTAACAATCATGACACCCTATATTTAAAATTAATTGATAGAGTTGATTTGATAAGATTTTATTAAAGATAAGATAGCCACTTCATTAAATACCTGAGGCACATTGTTTTCAAGAATTCCTAAAATTTCTAAAATTCTTTGTCCTTGTAAAGCTGTGATCACGTGTGTAGTCGAAGCATCAAACTCACCATCGACTACTTGTCCTCCTTTTTCGATTACTTTTTCTTTCAATAATCTCAAACGAACTTTATCAATATTATTTGGAATAAAAAAGATTCGAAAGTTTGAAAATATGCCAACAGGGTTCAATGGAGGTCCTATATTTTTTGGTAAAGAAGCTTCACGCGTCGGTTTTTTTTTCCTCCATCGAGTTGTCTTAGATGGGCCAGAATGGATCCGTTCAGTTGCAACAATGGTTGCCTTCTGTGAAGACATTGATTGTGATGCATGTGTGGAAGAATCATGACGCGCCTTCTTATTACCGGAAGAATTAATTTCCTTTTCATTCGTAATTTTATACATAACCTTTCGAGTTTTACGTTTAACTGGTTTAAATGAAAAAGATGATAATTGGATATTCTGAGTTTCAGCTTGATTCACAGCTGAAGATGTCATAGAGTTAATTTTTTTCGAAACTGATGCATCAGAATCATGTGATATGACATGAGATTCACCAGATTTCTCTTCTAAAAGGCTATCGAACGTTCTTTTGTTGTTCTTTACGCTGATTGGATCAGCATTCATTAAGATATCGTTCTCTTGCGATGATAAGATGTTCATAGAGTCCATGCCAAAGTAAAAAGAATCACTTAATTGTGAAGAAATTCGTTGATCTTCTTCGTTATCATTATCATTGTTTGCGGAAGACTCAAATGACGTAGCTGGCATTAAGTTTTCACGTTTTGATGGCATTGATAGAGCCACTGGATTAGTCGGACTTATATTTTCTTCGTCTTTGGAAGCCATACTTTTAATTCTATAATAAAACCGATGAAAAATTGTAACTTGTTATTTATCAATTAAAAACGCAAGTATAGTAAGGCAGTGCGTATATAATGATATTGCCAAAGAAATCAGATACAAATTTCTTCCGAATATAGTCAGAGAAAGAGAAATGAAAGAGAGAAAATTGGTAGATCAATATCATTTAATATTCGTTAATTGTTTATAATTTGTGACAAGAATCACAAGGTCATATGCATAGTACGAAGAAACCTTTATGAACTGCGCCAAATGCGCAATCTTATCACAATACATATATTTGGAATAACCTGTTTCATTTGAATTCATTGAATTGTATTTAAGTGTATTTAACGTTAATATATTTAATTATTAATCTAATTATAATCTAACTATGTAAATTATGGTTACTATTATTATTTAATAATCACATTACAATTACAATTATAATTCATTACTTTGAAGCACGTGAAAATTAAGGATTTACGATGTGCGATTATGCTATAATAAAAATAACATTTTCTATCTTTATTATTTTTTTCTTTTTAAATATTTCTGTATATATGCTTTTAAAAATTATTATTAAATGTTATCAAGGTAGTCGAGCATTAAATTATATGCTTAAGTACTTTAAAATGCTATTCAAGAATAACAAAGCATACAAACATGAATAATGAACACCCCTAATTTAGCGCATTGCTTAAGCAGGAGCCTGGTTCTGAGATTCATTTGAATACAATCGCTTCCTAAATAAGCAATGTACCTTCTGCTAAGCGTGAGTACAACTATCGCTATTTTTTAACTAATTTGGCCAATGCAAGAAAATACTTGATTTTAATTTACAAATATTAAAATATCTGTGCGTTATCGTTATGTACGGAGATAATCTATTAATGTCAGCCGGGTAATTTAATCGATCGCATTTATTTTACATAACCTGTAACTAAAAAACCGGGCACATAAATTTACCATAACATTATTGGTTCATTATTTCACAAATCAACTTTAGTAAAAATAACCAATCTATATAATTAATTATATATCTGTTATAAAGTTAATGCTACTATTTTTAAAATTATAACCTGTTTCTGAATATTGTATTAGCTTCTTAACAAAACAAAGGTGGAGTTCGAATTTTCGAATATCACGTATTTATCATTATTGGAGTTGTAAAAAAGAAAAGTACGAATTATCAAGTTAGGCACGTGACATCTAAAATTTCGGCCTTCATTTTGGGCTTTTTTCTAAAATTTAATAAGTAAACTTTTAATTAATTAACAAAATAAAGAATATCAAAATCCATATTCTGTTTTTTTTAAAATTGTTATATCTTTCTACACCGCGGGGTAGGGACCCGGGATATCACTAAGGTGGTAGACTTAGCAGGCACGTGGTATAAGGAGCTAGGGAACACCTGCGTTGCAGGTGATGTACGTAGTAACTTGTATGTAACTTAGAATTCCTGTAATAAAAAAGACAATTAATAAAGAGCGCCACACGCGCCCCAGATGCGTAGAGCACTGGGATAGTTTAAAAAAAAAATTGATATATCTTAATTATATACCAGATACTGTATTAAGCACGCATATATATATATAGTAAAAATCCACTACGGATCGGAGTCACCTGATAATCATTTACAATATATACTAAAAAAATCCAATTTTTTTAAAAAGCAAGCATAAATAGCGTGGCCAAAATTATATTTATACAATAACACTGCACAATAATTTTATGAAGCTAGGTAGCACGATGTGATCACGCTAAAACTGGGGGACAGCAAAAAATAGGTTGTAATTTAATAAATTACTATAATTACAGTATATACATAGTCTATACTTGAGTTATCGAAAAAAAGTATGGTAACAGAAAAGTACTGTATTGGATGTAATTTACTATTTATTTGACCATTTTGCGTGAAACTGAGAGGTATGGTAGAAAAATATTGAAGGCGATACTTTTAGAATTTAGTTTGGAACTTGGTTATTTGATATTTTCTGTATTTATATTAGACTATAGCTTTATATTTATCATATTTTTTTTACAATGGCTTACAAAAAAATACATTATCCGAACGCAAAATTGGCATATAGATTTTCTTAATAAAAATTTATTTTGGAACTTCTTCTACGTATTTAATTAGCAATGAAATTGAATTACACAATTTCGAAGCCCTAACAAAAATCTGATAGTTTAAAATTTTATTAAGATAATTTTATAAACCTAAATATTTTAAGTTAAAAGATTTAAAATTAATTAGTATAGTTAAATTTAAATTAACCAATATTTAATTTTTATCTAAATCTCTTTACATAATTGTTCGGAACGAAATGGAGGACACTAGTTTTTATAACAGTGTTTGATCAACAATCTCGTGTAAATACTGTTTTTTTACTTTCGTGATGCTGATTGGTTAATTATATGCAATATTATCACATTGGCTGAGGCCAATGGCCGTGGCCAGCAGTTTTTTAAAAAAAATTATTTGCCAAATATTATATAGCGAATCTAGTGATGTAATTGGCCAATATCATGTAAATTAGACCATTTTGGGCTATTGGCTATTGGCTAGCTGGCCTGCCAACAGGCTAAAAAAATTGTTTGACTACTAACTACATAATATACTAAGGCTCTAACACTTAATGCTATATATTATCTAGGTATATTATATATATATAGTCACTTTTGCTAAAACGCACCTTTGGTGTTTTACCACCTATGTTGTATTAGCTTAAAAACTGGTTAATTAAATAATATGCGGTATTCTAAGTAAAAATGCTCTACGCCCCCAAAACCTTTTCTTTAACCAACCCCAACATGAAAATTTGAGCTAAAAATTATATATATAAAACTTATAAAAAATATATAAAAACATATAATAGGTGCATATTTAATTTTATGATCCGAAATTTTAAAGCAAAAAATAAATTCTCACTAATTGCGGTATGAAAGATGTGACCTCTGCAAATTATGATGTCATGTAAAATCACAGAAAATCAACCGACTTTCTGATTTTGAGAACCTTACAGATTTCAACGATATATAGATACGTTAGAAAATATATCTTATCAAGAATCAGAAATTTTCATCGATCATCACAAAAATCATGGGTCAACCTTTTTGCAAACCACAATAATTCTGAAACTCTAATTTAAATCTAAGAAATTTTACTTTAAGTCTTTATAATTTGTAGACCGGGCTTGGGCTAAGTCTAATTTTAAAATAAAACCCAGCCCAGCCTACTACTCTGGGGGTTTTTTTTCTGAGCCAGATTTATATTTTTTAGGCTTTCTTAACAAAGCCCGACTTAACCTGGTCTATTTCGAACCATTCTGGCGGATTGGCAGAATTAATCCTTTATTTAAATATCCTAAATTTGAACCCTAAATTTATTTAATAACAGTATTTATTTTTATTTATGTCATTATCTTATAAATTGTTAATTTGCTATAATTATTATTATTCTTAAAATGATTAATTTAGGGTCTTATTAAAAAGGCCAATTCTACCGATCCACACTACTTTATAATATAAAAAATCATAGCTTATAGTATATAAAGAATGATATACTTTTGAAAATAAAAAAGATTTCTTTATGTAGAAGTGGTAAGTGTTTTAGATAAACTTATTAATAACAAATCTTATCAGAAATCAAAAAAATACAGTCAACCCTTTCTAAATGTCAGGACCAGCTCTAGAGCATGCATTTAGAGAGGGCTGCAATTAGAGAACACTAATAGAATCACAATGTAACTATTATCATGTAATAAGCATAACTTTAGTAGGCTAGAAATAATATATTAGATTAGCTAATAACCATGTGAATGCATTTATGAGTGAGTTTTTATAAGTAGGCCAGACAACTAGCATGCACTTACAGAATAAAAAACATGCATTTATCTATAAATTTTACCATGGGCCCGGATCTATATTATGAGGCGCTATATTTAGGAAGAGTGTATTTAGAAGATTTGACTATAGTTAACTTATACTAACTTAACAGTTTTGTTAAATTAATACTTATAAATACTATATTTTCATATAATAATGCTTATGAGCATTAATTCAAAAATTGTATATCCAAAATTCTATATATGGTCTCAAAATTAGAGGTCTATCCAATGAATAGTATATTCAAATATTTAACAAATATTCAAATATCTAAATATATAATTGTTTTACTAAATCAAATATTCAAATATAAAAACTTTTTTTTAAATAATTTATTGAATATTCAATGAATATATATTATCTAATTGACTAATTAAATATAAGATTGGTATCATATATTATGCTCAATCATATATACTGATTGGTTAGCAATACTAATAATTATGAGCCCAAAGTAGATAAACAAAATAAATCCTTATTAGCTAGAAGTTTTCTCTATTGATTTATTTATTTAAACTCTTAATTATTTAACTTTATAATTTGTTACTATTTTGTATCAACAACTCTATTACATAATTGTTAATATTTAATGAATATTTAGTAAATATTTGAATATTCTGCTAATAAATATTTGGATATTAAAAAAATTGAATGGGTGAATATTTGAATACTTATTTTTTTACTAGATTAGATTTCTATTCAAAATAATACTTATATATTTTAAAATAATATGTACTTATATAAGACAATTATATAAAATATTTGATATTCTGATTTTAGGTTATAAAATTTGCAAATAGCTACTAATAGCAATAAAAATTTTGATAAATACTTAGATCAATATATTATTAAAGTTAATATACATATGTTGCTATTGAGATTTATTATATATTTATTATAAAACAATAATTAAATACTTTATATTTTATATTTTCAATTTTATTAACACATTTTTATATAAAAAGTAATATAATTGATAAAGCAATACCATAAGTATCTAATCTCAAAATTTAAAATATTTTCTACAAGAAGTTTACTTTAGATAAACATGGCATTTTCTATATTTTATATATATCTATATAGTCAGACCTCTCTAAATGCATCCTTTCTAAATG